CGATAAATGTTAGTTTTTAAAGTAAATCAGTGATGAGAACTTTAATTTTTATAACTTAAGGGTTTTTAAAATTATAATTGGTAGTTATAGAAAATTAGAAATTGTAGATAAGCAAAAATAGAAAGCACTCCTAGCCTGGGCATACAAAGATACTCAATATTAATATTTAAGTATATTTTCTCCTGTATTTTTTCCTGCCATGTGCACATATAATTATATGTGTATATATATGAATGTGTATATATAGTTGTATAAATGTCACATAAAACATACCTGTATTTACTTAACTGATTATTTTACTTAATGATTGATTATAAATATTTACCCATGCTCTCAAATATTTCTTTATAAGAGCCACATAGTATTCCATTATAGCATATTCAATTGCCCTTTTAACATGAAACTTTAAGACAGTGTCTGAGTTTTCATGTTTTTCATAACTGACAACTCTGTAGCCAAATATTTTAACATTTATGTAATGTTTTGCTGTGATTAAATTCAAGAAGTAACATGGTAGTTTTCAGTAGTAATAAAGAAAATGAGATGAAGTGTGAAAAGCATTGGCACTTGGTCATCAGTAAGTGTGAAGGATGGGGGTCTACATGTGTACTGTCGGAGGGGAGGGAGAAGTGTTTGGGCGGGTATTTGCTTTCCACGTGTTTCTTTTTGTTGTGGATTCTTCCTGCTGCTGGAGTGCAGTGAACTGCCCTTCAGCCTGTTGACTGTCACACCGGGTTGGAATGCCCGGCCTGGGGCCCGCTTGGCAGAGCTGTGCCCACAAATACCAAAAATAGCAGCATGCAGATGGCAGGCTCTCCGTGGAAGAACAGCGTTGCCCTGAAAGACGTGTTCTCATCCACAGGCTGAACGAAGCGCTGCTGCGAAGGAGGGGCGGGGAGAGCGCCCCTTCGCTGCGCTGCTTGGCCGTTCACACCCCGCCCACACCACGCCCATGGGGTCTGTACGGAATGGACTGCGGTCCGGAACCCAGGGCAGTGCTGGGTACATTCAAGTGAGACACTCGGAGCCAGAGCCGGGTGGGTGAGACGGGCTGGGCGGAGGCTGTGGTGGCCTGGGGAGCAGGGTCCAGGCAGCGTGGCTGCCGCGCATGCTTCCCGCAGAGGGCAGAAGGCAGGCTCAGGCCTGCCAGGGACTCCCGTCTTCCCGAGAAGCTGACAGCCTGGTGCTTTTATTCATATCATTCAATTTCCTAATAGTACTGGGAAAATGGAGGAGCAGATTTTTTAAAAGTGTACATGTGATGTATTTTCTTAGGATGAGTCTCCAGACTGCTGCCCGCAGACCTCGGGACTCGTCAGCCTCCGTAATTGCATAAGCCAATCCCGGGAAATACACGAGAGGGGGTTGGGGGAGAGACACATCCACACACACATCCACCCCGTGGGTGCCTTTTCTCCCGGGAGCCGGGATACCGAGAGGAGACGTGTGTGGGGACAAGGAAAGATGCTAGACGTCTTTGAATGTATTTTGTTTTGTAGATTTGACTTTGGTGCTGTATAAATAATGTAGAAATCCATAAAACCAAACTAGATTCTTTAGAAAGCAGTCATGGAAAATGGAAAGGGGAAGGAAAGAAACAAGCGAGCCCCCCGAACATCAGGCTGGTGGATAGGCTGCACAGGACGCAGCTCTCGCCGGGGACTCCGAAACCTGGGGCTTTCACTCGACTTTCCCAATAGAATGTACTTCAAGTATTTCAGAGGACAAATTGTGAATTATTTTTCTTAATCACGGTGTTACTATGGTGGTGGCATTTGTGTTCTGAAACTGTTCTGAGCGTGTCTCAGGCTAAATCGAGCACGTGATGGTGGCGGGGTTACTGAGCGCGTGGGTTTTCAGTGTGAAACACGGGAAATCACGGCACCGTGAGATCCATGAGGTTCCCAGGTCCAAGTCCTGAGTCTGACGTGAAGTTTCGTGTGGACTCGTGTTGTTTTCTATCTGAAAACATAACTTATTTTCTAGCTCTGTCCGCTGAAACAGGGGCCGATTCCATAGCAGTGGACACCCACAGCTCCCAGCTTGTCAGGTCCAAACACCAGTTCCCACCACAGTGAATCAGCGCTTTTTACTAGGAGCGGCTGCTTCCAGCCTGGGGCAGCGCCTGTGCAAGATGGCCCTGGGACACCTCGTCGTGCCAGAAGCCGTGGCCCACGAGGACTGCAGGGCATGCCAGGAGGGCTTAGTCAACTTGAGGAGACCCCCCCAACTGAGCGAGGACAGGCCGGCCAGCGAGACCGTCAGAAGGGACAAAAACTGTCCTGGAGTGAAACAAATCAAAATGTTCATAGTGATATTTATTTGTTTGTTAATATTTATAAGTGAAAGTTGAACTTAGAAAGTCACAGAGGTAGAAGGAACAAGTTCCAGAGGTGAAAGAAGGACCCTTGCAGCTTAGGGGAAAGAAAATGAAAAGCATAGTGATATGCAAACATCGCTGTGTGAGACTGAAGCATAAACCTCACCCTGGCTGGGAAGGTCAGTTGGTTAGAATGTCATCCCACTACGCCAAGGTTGCGGGTTCGAGCTCCAGTCAGGACACGTGCAAGGATCATCCAGTGAGTGCATCCATAAGGGGAACAAGAAATCAATGTCTGTCTGTCTCTCTCTTTCTCGTCAATAATAAATAAAATAAAAATATCATTAGTCATCCTTGGAGGATATTAAGAAACCAAGTCAATATTTTGAAGATCAATAAATAAAGGAGGAAAAATCAAGCATCTGTCAAGTTCCTATCTAAATTGTAATTTAGGGTAAACATGTAGCTGATGACATGCAATTTCTCTTGATAGAACATCCCAGCTAACAAGTTCAGAAGAGATGATAGAATTATTTTATCACCAGTTTTAACTCTCTTGTGAAGTAATGGACCCTCTAGGCAAAGATCACCAATGACTGACGACAGTACAGCAAAAAAACCTTGTGTGCACCTGAGGAGAGCAATGCCACCTGCAGCATGATGCGGACCCCGGGTCATGGGGTCCACGTCATTATGGATGAAATGAGACATTCACACAGATTACTGAATCCAGTGGAGGAAAAGGGACAGCGTGGCTTTTCTCTCACGAGGAGCAAAGCCTCAGCCCTTGCTCCAATGAGCTTTTATTGCCTTCCTGGGCACATTACCAGAAGGTCCTCATTAACTATGCGCAGGCTCACTTTAGGTGGTTACCTTTTACAGAAAACAAAGGAGCCAATGCTGCTAATCACATCACAGAAGAGGGGTATTTGCAAATGAAAAGGCAAAAGTGGTTGGACCAGTTATACTCATCCTTGGGAGGTTTAGCATGGTTTTTAGGAAGTTGCTTTGCAGTAACTGTCCTCAATGCAGGGTGAGGCAGTTTTAGCAAAAAGCAAGACCCATAGCAGCCTAGGTACAATGCAGGCCTGATTCCCCATGGGAGAACCTATCCATGGGCGTGGGTCTTGTGCATCTCCCAGTGGGAGCTGGGCCCACGCCACCCAGAACAGTCTACTGCAGCGTCAGGCAGAAAAATGCCTTCCAGTTTGACAACGTCCATGTTCTAATACCAGAACCCGTGAATATGGTACATAACATGACAAGGTGGGATTAAGTTACAGGTGAAATTGTTTGCTAATAAAGCGATCTTAAAACAGGAAGATTACCTGGATTATCCAGGTGTGGATGAGAGAGGCAGGAGACTCTCAGAGTGACTGGATGTGAGGAAGACTCAACCAGCTGATGCCAGCTTTGAGGGTGGAGGGGCCGGCCACAAGCCCAAGGTTGTGGGCAGGCTTGAGAAGCGAGTCGAGAAACGAAGTCTCCCTTAGAGCTTCCAGAAAGAAGTGCAGCAGCTTGCTGACACCTTGATGTTAGTCTTTGGAGTGTCGGGCCAGGCTTCTGACATACAGAACTGTAAGATGATACTTTGGGGTTTCAAGCCGCTGAGTTTGTGGTTATTTGTAATGGTAGCAATAGAAAACTGATACATTCCATTTCCTAGGGTGCATTCTTTCCAGAAAACCGAGTCTGAACCTGATCAAGCCTCTTAATTCAACTGCTAAATTTATAGGAAATATGGGACACAAAGGAACACACTATATAAAATTATGGCAATGTTCAGCAGTATCTAAACTTTGGGCAATGCTGTTAGAAAAATGACATGTTTTGTTTATCAAATCAAGTTGTGTGTGTGTGTGTGTTTACTTATGAGAGAGAAGCTGACTAACTTAGGAGATGACCTAGTATTTTATGCATCAACCAATTGCAGTGTAGAACTTGATTCAAATAAATAAAATAATGAGGTAAGTATTAATGAAATCCGAACAGTGACACTGGGTATTTGATGCTAGTAAGGAGTTGTTATTTCCTTCGGCGTGGTGATGGAGTTACGGTGAACTTCAAACAAAGGAGGGGCAGTGCGGTGGGTGGGATAGATGACAGCAGACATACATTGATACTTGTTGAAGATTAAATAATAGGTGCACAAATGTTTGCTTCTTATTCTTTCTGCTTTTGTACATACCTTAATATTTCCATAATAAGCTATTAGTAAAATTGTTAGCAATTCCTTTGACTTCTTAAGTATGTTGTGAGCCAAACACACCATGTCCAAATGTCCAAAGGCTGGGTTTATCCCACAAATTGCCAGTTTTGGAAAAAAGGATCTGTCACTTTAACCTGGGGAGTCATCCTTTTCTCTGTGCCCGCTCACCTCCTGCCTCCACTCTCTCTGCAAAAGGACCCCTTTCTTCTAGGCACGTGAATGACTGAGGGTCGTTACAGATGGCTTGGAGTAGAATTTTCTTAGAATAAGTGAGCAAGAGGGCGGTGTGCATAATTGCACTGAGCAATAAATGCCCCCTAGTATTTCACGCATTTGTATGAACCCTTACCCCCTTATTCTACTCTCTGAAAAAAAAAGGTCAATGTCTTCATCTCAATATTTGAAAACCTGAGGTGTTTTGAAATTTTGACTAATTGCACTTTTCATGTTGTGTCTGCGCCTCTGTTTCAGGATGGAATGGGAAACTTGAGAATCACGGAGAAAGGTCTAAAGCTAGAAGGAGACTCAGAATTCTTGCAACCTCTCTACGCCAAAGAAATCCAGTCCCGACCGGTAAGTCTCTGCTGAGAGAAGGAACAGTTGCTCCCCTGGAATCTGAATCAGGGGAAATCAGTCTTGCCATCAGCTGAGCGTAAAGCTGTGGGAGGAACTCCAGCCAGCGGAACCCTCCTGTCCGCTGCAGATGGTAAATGAGCCGTCCCAGACACAATCTTGCTGTTCCCGCAGAAAAGGGGGTGGCAATTCCTTCTAGTGGGGAACACCTCAAACCCTTCTCCCAAATGGCTTTTATTGTGAGTGGTATGTGTAGGTGTACACAGCGTACATGCATAGCTCATCAATCAATGTCAAAAGGCTATAATCATACAAAAACAGGTGTTATCTACAGATAACAATGGAAGGAACACAGAGATCTGTCATAGGCCACGGTCTGTGAGTCATGCTGATGCCAGAAGGTCTTTAAGATGTGTTTCATGTGGTAAGGCGCTTACTCCTTATGTTTGAACTTAAACATCCTGTTTACATCACCAGGGCTATACAAAACAAAGCAGAGCAAGCGTCAAAGGATACAATGTATTTATCAGGCCTGGTTCCCAGGGAAGCTTGGTGTTAGAGTCGGGTCATGTCTGCCAGGGGCGTTTTTACTTGGTTTTCCAGGGAGACTTACTAGCGCCTTTCAGGGCTTGTTCTTGCGGGGCTACAGTCTTGGAAACCACACAGAGTGGTCCCCAACATAAAAGGCAGAGCGCATAAAGGCGATAGTATAGGTAGCGAGATGCATTCGGACCTGAAGTCTTGAGTGTAACCACAGCTCCATTAAAGAATGGGGACGGGGGAAGGGAGTGTGGGCAGAGCCACATAGTTACAAGAGTAGCAGGGCAAGGATTTCTGCTCAGAAATGTAGCTCTGAAGCTTTTCTGTTAACCACAGTCTCTTTCCTAAGCTTTCCCTCTCATTCCTTCTCTTTACCATGATAGTGATTCCTAGATTCCTTGCTTTTATTAACCAATATTATCAAAATTAATTATTGTTTGTTTATGAGTGAGTTTTTGTTTCTTTAGTTATTATTGTTACTTTTTGGTGGGTGGTGGACTTTGCTGGTTGGAGGGGGTTATTAGTACATTTGCTTTGCCTGGGTTGATTCGTGTCGACCTGGAAGCAAAGAGCGACAGGAAACTTCCCACAGAGGCATTTGCATCGTGCGCGTTGATTGGGGTAATGAATGAAATTCAGCAACTCCATGTGGTGGGTAGTTTAAACTGAACACTGTCTGAACTACTGAGTTGTGTTAAACTGAGTGCACCTGCTGAATTGCCGACAACTGTATTTCCCTGTGTGCCCAGTAAGAGAGAGGAAGCCGTGATGTCAACATCATCAAAAAGTGTGAATCAGTGTATCCGCACAACGATGATAAAATCTAACTGAAACTCATAGCATCCTGTCTTGCGCCCTTAAAGTACCGAGAGTATTGTAAATGTCACCGGTGTCTTTGAGGAAGCTATATGCTGGGAGGAGGAATGGGCTGAAACCATAACACGGAGGTTTGGGTGATGATTGTGCCTTGGACTGATTGGAGACCGTTGATTTTGAGCATTTTGGAAATCCTGGAATATGCATTGCTCTTTGTTGATGTTGTTGAGTTTTAAATTTTTTGAATATTTTTCCTTGTTATTCTACCACAGTTGTCCCTATTTTTCTCCCTTTGCCCTCCTCCACCCATCCCACCCCCACTCCCACACTGTTGTCCGTGTCCATGGGTCATTCATGCATGTTCTTTAACTAGTCCCTGCCCCTTCTTCCCACCATGATTCCCCTCCCCACCCTGGCCACCGTCAGTCTGTTCCATGTGTCCATGCATGTGATGATCATTAGTTTATTTTGTTCATTAGCTTCCTCTTGTAGGTGAGATCTATGGTGTTTTTCTTCTACCATCTGGCTTACTCCACTTAGACTAATATTCTCCAATTCCATCCATGCTGTTGCAAAAGGTAAATGTTCCTTCTTTCTGTGGCACAGTGCTCCGTTGTGTAGCTATACCACGGTTTTTTGATCCACTCATTTAGTGATGGGCTGTTTCCAGCACTCAGCTATTGGAAATAGTGCTGCTGTGAACACTGGGGTGCTTAGGTTCTTTCAAATTCGTGATTGGGGATTCTTAGGGTATATTCCCAGCAGCAAAATCTCTGGGTCAAAAGGCAGTTACATTTTTAATTTTCTGAGGTAATTCCATACTGTTTTCTTTCGTGTGTGTGTGTGTGTGTGTGCTGGCTTATTTTTTTTTTTATTTTAATCATTGTTCAAGTACAGTTTTCTCCCTTTTATACTGTTTTCCACAGTGGCTGCACCAGTCTGCACTCCCACCAACAGTGCACAAGGGTTCCCTTTTCTCCGCATCTTCGCCAGCACTTGTCATTTGTGGATTTATGAATGATGGCCATTCTGACCAGTGTGAGGTGGTCTCCCATTGTGGTTTAATCATGTGGTTGCATCTCTCTGATGACCAGTGATGTTGAGCATCTTTTTATAAGTCTATATGGGCCCTCGGTATGTTCTCCTTTGGATAAGTGTCCATTCAGGTCTTTGGTCCACTTTTTAATCAGATTGTTTGTCTTCCTGGTGTTGAGTTACATGAGTACTTCATATATTTGGGGATCAAACTCTTGTCTGATATATCATTGACAAATATGTTCTCCCACACAGTCAGTTTCCTTTTCATGTTGATGATGGTTTCTTGAACCATGCAGAAGCCTTTTAATTTGATGTAGTCCCATTTGTTTATTTGTTCCTTTATTTTCTTTGCCTTGGGAGATATATCAGCAAAACTACTACTATATGGGATAGCAGTATAATATCCGAAATTTTAATGCCCATGTTTTCCTCTTCAACTTTTATGGAGCTGCCACTTACATTTAAGTCTGTTATCCATTTTAGCTCCTTCTGGTGTGTGGTGTAAGTTGGTGGTCCAGCTCTCGGTCTGTCTTTGCTCCTCCCATCCTGGCAACCATCCCAAGCTGGTTGGTTAAATCACTGGTCTGAGTGACAAGCTGCATTTTAGATGAATACTTTCATCTGTATGAAACTTGTTTAACTCGCTAGTTTGAACTGGCTATTTTCTCCAATGGTGTTGCCTACAAGTAAATATTTTAGGTTTTTTTCCCTGTTTTACAACTCTGTAAAAATGAAAGAAAAAAAAACCATTGTCTCAAGGGACACAAAAGCAGGTTGCAGGCTGCAGTTCGCCAACCTCTCTGGCCTGTGTTAGTGACGCTCCTGTGACTGTGTAAGTGGCCTGGCTACATTGCAGGTGTGCACACGAGCAGAGTCTGGCTACATCCCAGGTGTGCACACGAGCAGATTCTGGCTACATCGCAGGTGTGCACACGAGCAGATTCTGGCTACATCCCAGGTGTGCACACGAGCAGATTCTGGCTACATCGCAGGTGTGCACACGAGCAGATTCTGGCTACATCCCAGGTGTGCACACGAGCAGATTCTGGCTACATCGCAGGTGTGAGCACGAGCAGATTCTAAGATCACAGGTAGAATAGTTGATATGTGTTAAGTAAAGTACCCTGAAATAAGTTTTCTTGGTGTAGAATTAGATTCCTGTAAGGAAATTGAGAAATGTGTTTTAGAAGACGTGAGAAAGGGCACCTGGCATATCTCAGACTCATGCAGGAGTGGAATTTTCAGCAAGTATTTCAGCCAGCCTTTCAGAAAATGGGGAGTCATTTGACCTCAACTCAAAGATACACTTGATTAGATTAAAAAGTAATGATAATTTAAAAAACATCCCCTTAATACTGAAAAATCAATGAGTTATTTTCAGTGATTTCAAATAACCATTTAAAGAAAATACAGTGTTAAAATTCACCGGTATTCCATTTTTCTTAAGAATTTTTCGTTTTGAAAATATAGTAAATAAATACAGCTTCATAGCCTTATATCTTTCTTATAACAACGAAATAAATATCTCCCAACTGAAGAAAATGTTAGATTTGCGTACAGAAATGCGCGTACAATGAAACCTATCAGTAAGTTACGTGAGCTCTACTGAAGCGTGTTCTCCAGCGTACGCCACGCCCAGCTCAAGCCACCACCGTCTCTCCCTGGTGACTCCGCACCACCAGCCTCAGTGCGACCGCCTCCTTCTCTCTGCTGCCTTTCAGGCTCAGCAGCACAGTCCACACTGCAGCCAAAGCCGTCTTTTCAGGATGCAAAGTCATTCCTCCCCTTTGCAGAGGGTTCTCCACGGGCTTCCCAAGGCACCTGGAATGAGAGCAAAGGTGCCCACTAGAGAATGTCACGCCAGGCTCCTCCCAGTCAGCCTGGTCTCAGTCCAGACATCACCGTTCTAGAAAGACCCCCCCACCCCACCTCCATCAATCCACTGAGCAGAGCAGCTGTACATAAAACACCACCCTGGGTGTCCCCCTTGTAACTGTCATCATTTGCCATTCTTATGTGCTTAAGGATATGTCTTTGGAAGAGCAAGAGATTGTCTGGATTTTCCTGACTACATTCCCCAGCCCTATTGCTAAGTCTTTACGCATAGTATGTGCTCAGGATGTGTCTGTGAAATTGAGTAATGAATTATTAAAAATGAAAGTGTCCCTTAAATTTATCTTGCAGTTGCAAGCACTGCTAACAATTTATTGTATTTTTCCAGCCATCTGCCGTGAGTATATTTTTCAACAAAACCGTACTTTGCATTCTATTCTGTGCTTATTTTCCTCCAAATAATATATTAACAGTGAATTTTTACATCTGTTTAAAAGTTTAAGAGTTTTTTTGAGGTGTAATTGATATAGAATAAGCTGCACATATTTAAAGTGTCCAGTTTTGCGAGCATTTACATATGTACAAACTTGTGGCATCATCACCAAAATCGCGGTAATGAACGCGTCACCCCTAGGAGTTCCTCCACGCCTCCGTCCTGTGGCATCCATCCCGTTTCTCCGACCCCGTTCCCAAGCAACCACTGCGCTGCTTCCCGGCCTGTGCATTTCCTTGCATTTCTTAGAACTTCATATAAGTAGAATGAGACAATTTGC